GTGAGCTAAAGCTTGAGAAGGCTTTTTGAAATAATATCTGGTCTCCAAAGTTTGTGGTTGACCGGCAAAGGTTGGATCGCCCATTGTCAAAGGATCCGTGGTTTTCACGTCGCTACATTTCAGTCTCAAGCGTTGACTGAAGACGGCCACTTGTTACCGTTTAAACCGTTTGGTTGCAAGTAATTTGCCACACGGGTAGACGTACCCAGGATATCTCGCTCGATACTCCGTATATAATTATTTGTCGTGCGATTCTTTTAATTAAGATCTCACACTGACGTAGTCGTGCAAAATTGCATTATACGACTCCGATCAGAAACTGAAAACAACTGGCAAAACGAAAATATTGAAATTTGTGCCGTGTTATTTTTACAACAACACGAAAGACATTGAACGTTGGCCGCTACTAGAATCGCATGGAGAAACTACATTTGAGATGTTCTTGATTTCTCTCAGGATGAGGCACAAGAGATTGTTATTGAACAGGGCTTCAGCTCCCCTGCCTTCTTTGCCAACTCGACGCGGTGGAGGACGAAACTCCAATCGCGGACGTGGACGTGGTCGTGATCGTGATAATGGTGGTCGTGATCGTCGTAAACGTAATCGTAATCAACATGGACGTGGTGGGGGTCGCGGACGAGGTGGTAGTCGCGACCACAATGGTACTGTATGGTCCGATGATGGTACAACCATCCTCAACAACGGTGGATACTCCCAAGACACTTGGAGCCGTTTCTCTGATCGTGATCGCGGTGTTGTCCTCCAAGCCCGTGAACGTGCTAACAGTCGTCTTATGAGTGAATGTGACATTGCAGAATTAATCGTGACCGCCAACAAAATGAAGAGCCTGCACCAACACCAGCTCCAGCACCCTCCTCTGGCAATGTTGGTAGTGGAGTTCGACGTGGCCGTCGCTGACATGAGGCCGACTATCAGATTCGTGTTACTTGTTCCCTTTCCTCTTGTGTTTGTGTTTTAATGTCCCTTTCCCACTCCTTACCCCAATGTGAGCTTGACTCACACGCAGATACTTGTGCTTTTGGCGAAAGTTGTCTGGTTCTTGCAACTTATCCCCATACCTTGACAGTAAAAGGCTTTGATCCTTCGCTCTGCAGTGTGCCTAACGTTAAAGTTGCCAAAGTTGCAGTTGCTTATGAAGATCGCAATCAATATTCGCATTCCATTATTGATGAAAACTCGGGATTACATATCCCGATGGACTTCCTGAAGCCTATCAGCTTCTTTGCTTGTCGCAAACCTGCGCTGTCTGAACTTGATGAATATGTCTCGGTGGAAATGACC